CCTGAGCCACAGGCCAGAACACCTGCAAAAGTCTGTCTGAGCATAAACTGAGCAAAAAGAACTGCCAGGGTTGATATAACAACTGCACAGCTCTGCAAATGCAGGATCCACAAATTTCTATTTCTCTGAAGAGTGAGTTCAGAGCACTGAAAGCTCACGGAGTGACTGAGTAGCAAGTTTGCAAATAAAAAGTGAAATGCAAGATGTTTACAAAACCAAAGAGCTTTTCCAGGATCCCAAACAGCTTTAGGTTCTCTGCTTCTGGAAAAGGAGTAAATCAGCACTGTTCATTAAAGAGTTAAAAAAAGGTTGGGGTTGGTTCCTCCTTTCAAGCAGCCCCTGCCATCAAACCAGTCCTTGGGCACCCAGCTGAGGACACAGAGCCAGAGAAGCAGCAAGAGGGTTGTAAAAGCAACATAAAAACTCCTGCTTGGCATCCACAAGAGGATTTTGTCCAACCTGCATCAGTTCCATTTAGGAGAGACAATCATTGCTCTGTCTATAAAAAACCATAGAACATCTCCAGGGGGACAACCCTTGATGGTGCTCAGGTGGAAACGAGCAGCAGAGCTGACAAAACCCACATCCCTTTGGTGTTGTGGAGTGGTTTGGGGTGGAAGGGACCCTAAAACCCATCCAGTGCCACCCCTGCCATGGGCAGGGACACCTTCCACTAGCCCAGGTTGCTCCAAGCCCCGTCCAACCTGGCTTTGGACACTCCCAGGGTGGGGCAGCCACAGCTTCCCTAGAAAACCTTAATTCCCCAACACAGCTGGCTCCTTGCCTGGCCTTCTTTGGAGGCTGCAGCTCCCCCCGAGGTGCCCAGCAGGTCACCCCAGCCCTGGAACATCCAGCAAGATCCTCACAAACAGGCAAGAACCCTGGGGGCCTTGCACAGCTTGTCAGCTTGACGTTGCCAACGGGACAAAAAGTTTGCTGGAGGGTTTTTGTTGGTTTTGAGTTGGTTTCTTTTTTCAGTTTGACAAATATTGAAAGTGTTGCCTGACACAGATCCTCCCAGTCAGCAGGTCTAACACAGAGCCAGTGAGGCACATCGGGGGCATTGATCTGGGCTGCAAATAAAAGCTGCTCAGATTTAAGAGCTGCTCAAAGGCTGTTACCAGCTGGTGAAATATCCCTCATTTACTTGCTCCCAAGAGCCTGCCCAAATCCAGCACATCTGTCTTGTGACAAATTAGAAAATCAAGAGTGGAAAAAAAAGTTCACATTACTTTTTCTAGTAGCTCTCTATAATTTAAATTGTAACTCCTCATCTTCAGCCTCACGTTAGAATATTGGTCAGGCATTAAATTCTTCACCAAAAGGGTTGTCACAGGGGGAGTCCCCATCCCTTGGGGAGGATTTAACAAAGATGTGGATGTGGCACCTGGGGACATGGGTCACTGGTGGCCTTGGCAGTGCTGGGGGATGGTTGGACTCGAAGGTCTTTTCCAACCTCAACAATTCTGGGATTCTATTCTATAAGCACCTGTGCTGTTAAAGACTTCCATATATATATAAAATATATATATAGTAAAAAAAAAAATGTAATATATATATTATATATATATATAAAAATATATAATATATATAATATATTATATATAAAATATATAATATATAATATATATAAAATATATATAATATATATAAAATATATAATATATATACATTATATATGTAAAATATACATATGTATATATATAATATATATATGTATATATTACATGTATGTGATATATACACACATATATTTTTAATATATATACACATATATTATATATACATATATAAAAATATATATAAAATTAAATGCAACAAGTCTTTTCCCCATCCACCACAAAACCACAGTCCCCAGGTCAGTAGAAATTAGATTTTTCCCAAATCCAATTAGAATATTATTCCCCAAAACTAAATAATCCAATTCAAACCACACGATGCTAAGTCACAGAATGACTCAATTTTACTACTATATGTGGAGACATAGAAACATGTCTGGAGTTAAATGAAAAATGTTGTTCTTTGGAAGCAACAACAAGAATTTCTTTTAAATACCAGGAACTCATCAGTAAGAAGTAAAAGAAGAGGAAACCAAGCATGGTTCATGTAGAATGGGAATTTGCAATTAAAAAAGTTAAATCCTATTACACATCATTTTTCCAATAGGCAGAAACACAAAGAACTCAATTTTCAATATCATGTATAATTTTGTACATCTTTGCTCAGAAAAGATGAATTTCAGTGTATACAAGCATTGCATGGATGATCAAGAAGTGGGAACAGAGGAAGAGATTAAAACAAAATTGCTTATTTAGCCTAGAAAATTAGCTGGATTTTTGTGCCAGTAAATAAACAAGGAAGAGAGAAGAAACACTTTTGCCGTAAGACAAAGTGAGACAAAAGAAAAGTAAACTGGCTGAAAACCAAGGTTGAAAAATCAAGGGTTGTAACAAGGAGAAAAATTAAGCTCTGGAGTGAACTTCCAGCTCTCCAGAGGAGGAAGGAGCTGAAGGAGTTCTGGGATGAGGCTCCATCACTTCCTGAAGGAAGGTGTGATGTTGGTGCCTGAGCAAAGCACTGAGAACCACAGAACCCTTCAGGCTGGAGGAGCTCTCAAGGACCATCGAGTCCAAACACCAGCCAGGGGACAGTTAATGCCTGTGCCCAGGGGGTTGCAATTTAGCAAAATATATTCCTGCTAAAGCAGCCCCTGGACAGCCAGCCCTGCACTTGCCAGTCTTCCTACAGTGGATTAATTAAAATAAAAGTCACTGTACAAGGCTCTGAGTCAGCCAGGGCAGAGAGATAAAACTTTATGGAAAGACACTAAAGAAATTCCCATCTCTCACACTAAGACAGAAAACCACAACAACAGAACTCTGTAAAGATTTTTAAAAAAAGCATAAATAAATATATAAATAAATGTACCTGTTCCATAATGTCATTCCACTCCCATTTCCTACTCCTTCCAGCAGCCTCCAGAGTCCCAGAAAAGTTCTCCTTTAGTGACTTCAGGGTGTTGTTGAGAATCCTCCTGACTGCAGAGAAATCCCAAGCTGCAGCCAAACATCCCTGGGCTGCCCCACTGCACCCTGATTTGCTACCAAAGAAACACCTGCAGAATAAATAGGGCTGAAACAACAAACAGCTGCAGAATGAACAGTGATCAAGCAATAAACCCAATAAACCTGGTGCCACAGAGCTGAACAGGATTCACATTTATCTTTCTGTGCTTCATATGAGAGATTTGCTTTCCAGTCTTTACTGCTCCAATTGCAGCATTCCATGTTTTAATTAATGTCAAAATTCCTAGTTTAAGACTTACTTTATCAAAGCCCGACAAAAATCCTCTCTGCACAACAGCAGAAAAATTCTTAAGGTCACTGGGCTGTCTCTGTATTCCAGGGATGGAAATCAGCACTTTTAGGACACTCCTGCAAATATTCTTCACAGCTATCACGGGGTTAACATTAAACCCTGCCAGGTATTTTCCAAGCTCTCTGAAATGCTGTGATGGAAACTGAGCCTGAATTCCCAGGTGGTCCTGGCTCATCTGCATCCCTCCCAGAGATCTCTCAATTGACACCTTGAAAAATGATGATGATCTGCTACAACTTGGCTTAATTAATTGAACTGTTCATCCTCCCTCCTCCCCCACATTACCCCACCTGATGTGCAGAGTCAGAAAGCTGAATAATTACAGGAGGAAAGCAGGGACACTGAGGGAGAAGGTGGAAAACTCAAGAGAACAATTTTTGTCAAGACATTCACTCATCCATAGGCAAGAACTCTGGATAAAATTAACACATAAACCCCATTTTTGCTGTTCCTAATAAACAAGCATTTAAACACAAATTGCCTATAGAACAGAGCAATGCTCTGCAATATCACTTTAATGGCTTCCCCCTGCCAGAGGGCAGGGATAGATGGGATATGGGGAAGGAATCCTTCCCTGGGAGGGTGGGGAGGCCCTGGCACAGGTTGCCCAGAGAAGCTGTGGCTGCCCCTGGATCCCTGGAAGTGTCCAAGGCCAGGTTGGACAGGGCTTGGAGCAACCTGGGCTAGTGGAAGGTGTCCCTGCCCATGGCAGGGGGTGGGATGGGATGATCTCTAAGGTCCCTTCCAACCCAAACCATTCCATGACTCTGTGACATCAAGGCCTCGACGTGGAGCTCCATTGATACTTTTTGCAGAGGTCCTTTTCTCCCCAGACAGGCTGGATCTGGATTTAACCTCATGCTCAGAAATACAGAATTCAGGATAAGTCCAAGCCCAGCCTCATTGATGCCTTGGGACACAGGACTTCATGATCCCCCCTCGATGGCTTCCACTTCCTAAAGCCCAAATTAACATTCCAGAACAGAAATGCTTGAAATTGTGACCTGAACAGTTCTGAGCCTTGGAAGCATCCTGCTCTTAATTAAGCACCCTCTCCCTGCTGCAGCCACAGGTTGGCCTGTTAATGATGTTGTGTGAGGACCACGATGCTGTTCCCCCAGTGAGTGATTTATTAACTCCAGCAACACCAGATCTGCTCCACAGCACCTGCACACCAAGACAAAGGGCATGATTACTGTGCCCACAGCACTTTAACTTCCTTTGTACTCTGGATACCCTGGGTCCCATCACAGGGCCCTGAGTCACAGCGTTGTTATTTAGTCCTCAGCAACCTCTGCAGGGTGAGATTCCAGCATCACCCTTTGCCTGCAGCTACTTTGGGGCAAAATGCAACATAACAACTGAATTCTGCAGAGCAGATATCCTGTGCATCAACAGGCTTGCTGTTACAGAAGAATCCAGTGCTGTTTCAGGCTCAAGCAGCAGTTCTCATGATTCATCCTGGGCTTGTAGAACATGAATTACAGTATAAAATCTGCTTAAGAACTTGGTTCAGCTCTGTGTACAATTAATTTATCAACGCTCCTGACATCCACATCATTCCTTTTACTCTTTTCAGCTCTGGAACATCTTGACATGGCTGAAGTGAATACAAAAGAATATCTTTTAGATAACTTGCATTTATTAAAACTTCTGTGTCTCCATTTCCTGAGGAGTTTCATTGTGCTGCCTGGCACCTCTGCCAAAGGAGCAGATAAAACAGGAATGTGCTGGGGAACAAAAGCCCCAAGAGCAGGATCTGCTCAGAGAAATACCTGCTGTGTGACTGCCCAGCAAGGTAACTCCTGTCTGTGCCAGGTGTGGGGACATCACTTCCTCAGAGTCCACATCTCTCCTGGTTTGATATGAACAGAAAAAGGCCTAAAAGGAAGAGGAAAGGTGCAATTTGGAGGTGAAGCACAAACCCTGTCCAGTTGTGCTGGTTGGGGCTGTGCTCTGGCTGCCTGTTTGCAGCAGAGGGAACTCAGAGCAATCCCAGCAGGAGAGGCTTTGCACGACCAGGGGATCCTTCTCCTGCTCCAGGAGCTCAAAAACTGAGCCTAAAAGTCTCACTTGAACGAGCAGGAGAGTTGGCACAGCAACTTCCCTGTCCTGCATTATTGATGTTACCTTGCCCAGGTTACCCCCCCTGTGCTGGGAGGGAGGAACAGGGAGCTGGGAGAGCAGCCCCTGTGCTTCCAGTCCCATCACAGTCACGTAGGCCAGTGGGAAATGATTGAGAGCAAACAGCATCCCAGCTGACAAGGCTGAGCTCACCTCAAACAGCCCCCTGACTTCTTCCTCCAGGAGACAGAGAGAGCCTCACACACCATTTCTCGGTGTCTGGAGGCTGTCCCCTAAAATTAAATATTGATTCAATATGATCTGGCTTTCCCAGGGGAAAAAAATGAATATGCATTTCCCTCAGCGTGTGTAGTTTTAAATACCAGGGTAATTTTAATGGTCTCAGCTAAGCTGGACGAACACTCAGCAGCTAATCCCTTGTTTGCCCAAGCAGAGCATGCACTAAGATTTACTGTTTACCATCCCCTTGGCCGACCCCCTTTGTTTGCTCATCAATAGCAGCCGTTTGGGAGAGGCTCAGCCTGGCAAGTCCTGCTCTGGACACAGCAGGTTCTTTCCCACAGTGTCAAACAGGATCTGCTCAAGTTAATGAGACATAAGGAGCTTCTTTTTCTTTTTCCTAGAGAACACAATGTGTTCCTTGGCGAGCTGGGGATCACTCCAGAGACCATAAATGTGTTGTGATCTGGTAGAATGATGGAAATAGGGGTAAAACAGAGGGGAAATGAGAGCAAGATTCGTGAGATCAAAAGATAGGTGGGGTCTAAGACAGAAAGTGCCTTTTTTTTGGCCAAAGGGGGTTGTATTAACAACTAAAGCATGAGAGCACCGTAAGGTGTGCATTTTATTCAGATTACCCAGAATAAAAATCTGCCCTGTTATGTTCATCCATCAGGTGCTGGAAATACATCACAACACACCATTGACCTCCCATTTTGTCCTTCTTATCACAGAATAGAGTCATGGAATGGGTTGGGTTGGAAGGGACCTTAAAGCCCATCCAGTGCCACCCCCTGCCATGGGCAGGGACACCTTCCACTAGCCCAGGTTGCTCCAAGCCCCGTCCAACCTGGCCTTGGACACTCCCAGCCACAGCTCCTCTGGGTAACCTGTGCCAGGGCCTCACCACCCTCATTATAAACAATTTCTTCCCAATATCCCACTTAACCCTGCCCTCTGTCACTTTGAAGCCATTCCCCATTTTTTTCTGTCAAAACTGTCTCTTTTCTCCAAAGAATTAACAGGAAGATCTTAGTTTTATCCGTGGTGGGTTTAAGGATGTTTAGGTGACCTGCTCCCCTGGGCAGAAGTCGACCAACTGAGAGACAAATGCAGAAAACAGAAGAGCATTAGGAACACACTGAACTTCTAGGGGAAAAAGTCTGTGACAGCTCTTTAAATGTTGTGGATCCACATCACCTGGGATCAGCTGATAATGAGGTTTGTACACTCCCCATCAATAAAGGACCCAATAGCACCACAGTGCCCCAGACATTCCTGCCTGTGCTCCCACTGTGATTTACCAGCCAGTAATTTATTCTCCAGTGTGAACCCAGTTGTATCATCACAATGTTACTGGGGAGCAGCAAATGGCTTCTATTTACTACATTTATTTTGAATTTGAGATCCTAAGAACTGTATTGTTAGAATAGGTCACCTTGAGCTAATCAATACTAATGAGTTGCTGGGCTTTTTGAGGGCACAACAGCTTGACTCTGATCAAAGTCTTACTCCTTTTGCTTACATTGCTCTCTGCTCTCTGTTGCTTTTCAATAAGAGAACAGCTCCTGAAAAAAAAAAAAAACAAAAACAAAACCCAGGTAGTCTGTACCTATATTTGTAAGTTAAACACAAACACAACAGTACAAAACACAAGCAAATAAAGGGCTGCCTTGGCAAAGGCAGCTCAGTGATCAATTTGTAGCTGATACATGATACTAAACCCTGTATTGATGAGAAGCAGAGCTTCTGCTACCTTGATGTTGCCTTTATCAATTAAAGCTGTTCTTATAATTGCATTTTTCCTCCTCATTAAGCTCCAAGCTGTTTGTTTCCTCTTCTATTATTTTTTAGTTGGCATTAAGCTGGGACTGGCTACAACCCCAAGGTGATGGGTTACCAATCCTGCCCGAGCAGAAGCACTCAAGGAGCACAGCACGTCCTGTCCTACAGCTCTTGTCATCAGTATTTACTGTCCAAGGCCTTTGTCCTCTCAGCCATGCAGAAAATAAAATTCCCCAGTGCCCTTCCAAAATTTCCCTCTGTAGTTTGCTCTCATTTAAGCAGTTTTAATGCCTGTGCACCTCTGCAGATACTGCCCACTTCATTATGCTGCATTTAGAGCAGCAGCTCCCTGGCACCCTGACAGGGGATTATTCCTAATGCTCTCCAGGAAAGCAGAACCAATGGAAAACAATTTATAAAAAAAATATCTGGCAGACTTCTTTCTTCTCCTCTTCCCTTCTTTCCAGCGAGGGAATCGATAACCTTTTATTTGCAAAATATGGCTGTATAATGGAATCCCAGATTGGTTTGGGTTGGAAGGGATCTTAAAACTGTGCAGTCCTACCCCCTGCCATGGGCAGGGACACCTCCCACCAGCCCAGGTTGCTCCAAGCCCCGTCCAACCTGGCCTTGGACACTTCCAGGGATCCAGGGGCAGCCACAGCTTCTCTGGGCAACCTGTGCCAGGGCCTCCCCACCCTCTGAGTAAATAATAATAGTAATAATAATAATAATACACAAACCAACAACAGGAACAACCATAACATCAACAGTATTAACAATAATTAATGCATTTGCAAATTGAGACATTTGCAGAACCCGCTGTGCCCTCGGGCCCCTGACAGTCCCTGTGCTGTGTCAGGAGCATCGTGACAGTCCATGAACTGCAAATCTCATCCAACATCAAGTAAATGTGCAGAGAACAGGATTCCTGTCCCCAGTGCTGATGGAAAGGGGGATTTTGCTGCACCCTCACAGCTAATCCCCTGTGGAGTCCAGCCAGTGGAGCAGGAACAAGGCAGCACTTGCTCTCGCTTTTACACTTATTTTTGCTCATATCAGCAAGAATTATGTTTATTAATAGACCAAATTAAGGAACCAAGTGTTCCCAACATATTTAGGACAACCAGGAATATGGAGACACCAGGACAACTGGTATCTCCAGCTGAGTCAGTCAGATCATACTCAGGAGTGAGGTGCAAGTTCTGCAGCCTTTCATAGAAATCATGGAATGTCCTGAGCTGGAAGGACCCACAAGGATCATCAGTCCAACCCCTGACCCTGCATAGACACCCCAACAATCCCACTCTGTCCCTGAGGGTGTTCTCCAAACACTCCTTGAGCTCTGGCAGCCTTGGGGCCGTGACCACACTCCTGTATTGCCAATGGCAATTCATTACTGGAGTTCCCAGTTCTGACTTTGGGTTTGGGGTTTGTCGTCTCCCCCCCATGATCTCAGATCACCAGTTAAAGTAGAACCCACACTTCCTTTCTGCTGCTCGCTGGCAGGAAGTGTTTTGCTTGGAAGTACTCAGAGAACATATTGGAAAACCAGAAACCATAAGGAAAAGCCTGTTCTTGCCAACAGATTGTCCTTCTCCATCCCACTGCAGAGCGACACCCCCACCCTCGGGGCCGTGGGTGAATGAGGAACCTTTGGGGTTTGTGTAGCCCGAGTGCCAAAGCAGCTCTTTACTGTGACACTCATAAAGAAACAGGTTCTCTGCTCTAAATCTTTAACACCCATATTAAAAATAAAAAACAAATATTAATTTTTTATTGAACTTCTTAAAAATAAAAAACGGGAGAAAATCTCTTTTGACCGCATAAAACCAAAACCAACTCCAGCCTTCGGCTGCTGCCCCCCTGGACCACAGTCATTTCATATAAATATTTTAAAAGAAGGGTTGTTATTACCTCTCATGGCTCAGCTCCTGCAGGTTTTGTTCCAAGTCACAACAAACGTTGGAATGTGAGCTGCATCCTCTGGGAGGTGGCAACTGTCCCCTGTGAGCTGTGTCCTCCAGGAGGTGACAACTGTCCCTCCAGGGACCAGGTTTAGGCCAGGTTCCTTCTTGCAGACCCCCAAGGAGCTGGAGCAGGGTCTAGAATCCCAGAATGGTTTGGGTTGGAAGGGACTTTAAACCCATCTCATGTCCCTTCCCCTAAACCAGGTGTGTCTCCCAGAGAGAACTGGAATGGAAAAGTTTAAGTCCATTCTGATCAGTTTTCAAGCAAACCCTCAGCTGATGTTGCTGCTGTCACACGAAAAACAGTTTGAACTTTTTTGCCTTTTAGAAGCAGAATAATCAGTCCCTTCAAACTCGCAAAGGAAACGGTGCCATGGAGAGAAGGGAAGGGAGAGATGTGGGAGCTGGGAGAACAGGGAGACAGCATTAATTACACACAGCCTGACAGGGAGAGGAGAAAATTTTACATCCTTCAAAAGGAAAAGAATTAAGAGATGACTGAGAGCAGGGAAAACTGGTAATTTCTCTGAGCTCTTTAAAGAGTTTACCAATCTCTTAATGGAGCTCCGTGTGTTAGAAGGAGATGGAAAACAGTCCAAGCAGCAGCCTGGAAATATAAAACATAATTTTTTAAATTTTTTTTTATTTTGTTTTTTGTTAGAAAATAAGCATATTTCTGAGTTTCAAAGGAAAATATCCACTCATCCATCAGAGAAAAGTTAAGCACAAAAAACGGCTGCAACACTTTCAACCAAATATTTTCATTTAAAAACATAATATGCCCAAACTAATGTTGTTTGTGTGAAAAGGCTGATATAAAGAACACCTTGAAATGGCAGAAAATGAAGCCGAAAAGCACTCTTCATTTGGAAATATAAGGAAAAAAGTTAAATTTCAAACTCGATACAAATCAAAGTGCCTCGAAACGCCCAGCAGATGGAACATATTGCTCTCAGGGAAAGCAACAATAAGGAAGCAAAACCATTCACCTCAATCAGGAATCCAAAGTTTCTGAAGTATTTTGCAGGACAGGAAAACAATTTCACTCAGAGGTTCCTGGGGGAAGCCAGAAAAAACTGGTTATTGAATTTATAAAAGCAAGAATGGAGCACACATTGAGATGTTACCTTTGGCTATGAGAGATGGGAAGGAAAATCAGCCCAGGTTCAGAGCAGCAGCACTCAAACCTGAACCACTTTCCATGAGGGACATGGAAAGTGCCTCATTAAGTCTCTCCTGCCATTCCAAGCCTTTGGCTGCCGGGGGTCAATAACAGGGAAACGTCAATGGACCAAAGTGAAACTGTGGGACAAGAAATTGGGAAAATTAAAACCTCCCAGGCTGCAAAACTCACAGCAAGTGAACATGGAATCATGGAATGGTTTGGCTTGTGACCTCAAAGCCCATCCAGTGCCACCCCTGCCATGGGCAGGGACACCTCCCACTATTCCAGGTTGCTCCAACCTGGCCTGGGACACTCCCAGGGGTGGGGCAGCCACAGCTTCTCTGGGCAGCCTTGTCTCCCCAGCACAGTTAATATTCTGTCTAAAACCCACAGTTTAGGCTGCATTTGTACCAAAAGAGCGAGACAGAAATGAAGGGCTTCATTTTGAGAAGTGATATCACAGCAAATATCCACATGGGCAAAGACTGGAGAGGGAGTTACCACTGGTATTTTGGGAAATGGAACTGCTGAATGACTGAGGGTGGAGAAGGACTATAAAAAGCAAAAGGAATACTGTGCAGGAAGCCCAGCACCTTTTCCCTGGGGAGTTTAAAACAAATATTTTAATTCCACTCTATTTTGAAAGTCTCTTAAAATAACGTGAGACTGGATATTTTTATGGTGGAAGCGATGGCACATCTTGCTAATCCAAGTTATTTGTGTGCAGACAGAAAGCCAGTCTTGTGTACTATGAATTTGGTAAAACCCTTTTAGCTCTCCTTTATTTATCTTATCTCCCCAAGTAAGGCACAGGAGATGTTGTCCACTGTGGTTTGGTCCCAACATTATTCCTGCCTTTCATCCTGGTGGTTCAGTCACAGTGGCACAAAGATCTACCATCTAAACCCCACGGAAGATTTTATTGCACCCCTGTGACCTTCCCACCTATTTAAATTTCTGTTTCATATAAATTACCTTTTTGACTGCTTGGCTTTGTAAATCCTTTCCCTTTGTCCTTGTTCTGTGGAATATCAAATCAATATGCAAGCACTGACATACCCAAAGTTCATCTCCAAACAGATGAGAGACTGAAAAGTTCTTTGCTGCTGCACAGATTTATCATGTACAAGTAGCACATTTGGCATTACAAAAGAGATCATATAGATGGTGAAAAATGGTAATGAAATACAGCTTGGAAATTTTATAAAGTAACCTTGTTTTACCAGGGGAAAATAGAGGCAAAAATTTAAATTTAAACAGAGGGAGGAAAAAAAAACGTGAACTGAGTGACCATTGCAATTCCTGAAAAGTTATGCAGAGAAAAGCAGGATGTGACTGGAACACATAATACATGTCAGGAGAAGAACAGAAGGATTCAACTATGTTTCTTCCCCAAAAGGTTGTCCAGCCCTGGCACAGCTGCCCAGGGCAGGGGTGGAGTCCCCATCCCTGGGGGGATTTAAAAGCCCTGGGGATGTGGCACTTGGGGACAGGGGTCAGTGGTGGCCTTGGCAATGCTGAGGGAAAGGTTGGACTTGGTGGTCTCAGAGGGCTTTTCCAACCCCAATGATTCCGTGGTTCTATTTTGTATTCTCACTGAGATGACCTCAGTAAGGTGCAGTGCTGAGGAAGGTTAAAGCAGAGCCTGTGGAGTGACACCTCCACTGAGCTGAGGGACACGAGGGCCCTGCTCTGTTCATGAAGGCCCCAGCAGCTCCCCAGGGTGGGGACTGTCCCCCAGAGCCATGGGACATGCTGCACCTCCCCTCCTGCAATACAGCCAGGGGGGTTGTGTTCCCCCTCTCAGACACCACGAGGTACCTGAAAATCTCCCAGGCTCACTCTGGGCAGCATCCCTGGGACTGCCAGTGCTGGAAATGAGCTGGGACGTGGATCCCAAAGCAAATGTCCCCAAAGCAGTGGGGACACTGGTGTAGGACCCCCCTGGGGTGGTGAAGGGGCCACCAGTCCCCACGAGCACCTCGGAGGATGCTCCGCTCTCCTCTCCTGTGGGAGCAGCAGGAGATGCTACAGGCAGGAATTATCCTGCTGCTGGTCTGGGAGCTGCTTCAGCATTTGCAGGATAAGCACATTGCACACAGCAAAAGGCTCCCTTTGTGCAGGAGACCTTAATGTGGCAATATTTTGTTTGTGCTCTTTGATGTTCAGCTTGCAGTTGTTTTCCGGGGGTTTTAAGGAACGAGCTCTTTAGATAATTTTATGGTTTCTTTGTTTGTTTGCCAGAAGATCCATCCTGTGACATAAGGAGAAAACAATTCTATTTCTTATCTTTTTTCTCCTGGTTAATATGAAGAGATTACTACCATTTACAGAAAAAAACCCCAACATTCAAGTCAGTTCATAATGAGCATAATTCCATCAAGTGGAGTTGATTTTTATATGTGAATGAAGGTTCAGAGGGACCCACGCTTCAGGAATCTAACAAACGTGTACTTTATGAGCACAACATATTCAGCACTAGGATTAGAATATTGAATAAAACCTCCCTAAAAGGCCAAAGCTTTGTGAAAACATTGCAGCTTTCACAGCTCTCAGGTAACTTTGGAGGCAAATGACAGTGCTGTGTTTGTCTATTCCAGTCTTAACAACTGAAACAAAGAGCAATTGAAAAGAAATTTCAGGAAAAATGTCCAATTTGCCCACACATGACTTGAATTCCATGAATGAACGTGTCTCTTACAGCATGCACAAAGCCTTACATAAATGCCCTACATCATCCAAGTAGTCACTTTCTGATCTTCAAAATCCAACAGAATTATTTATAGCTTTGCATGAAATATTCATGCAAAAGTGTCCATTCCCTGAAATTTCTGCTAAAGAGTAATTTAACTTGGTTTTTTGCATTCCTTGCTATCATCATAATTTAGGTCAGGCAAGAACCAACAATATCATTTGCCTAAAAAACCCTTGTGATGAGTATTACAAAGTCCTTAGATTTGTAGTAGGTATTTTGTAAAAAGCACAGTGAACAAGGGGCCCAATCCAAGCCACTAAAGTCAATTTTTAGCCAAGTATTTCCCTTTGTTTTAGGCTGGATGGAGCCCTAAAAGGTCCCTTTTTAATTACAGCAGCTAATTCACCCCATACCCAGTGCCACTGTTACATGACATCAGATCATGCAGCAGCAAATCTGCATTTCCTGGGGCCAGGGATAAATCAAATCATTGCTGCCATGGCCCCTCCCAGGCCCTGCAGCAGTCACAGAAATGCCCTTTTGGTTTAAAACCTGAAATAATGAATCCAAATGCACAGAAGCAACATGGTTTGTGCTTCTGGGCTGAACGCAGCCAGTGCTGGGAGTGCAGATCAGTGGTGTAACCTCAAAGGTTGCTGAACATGGGCCAAGCAACGTCATCTTTGTGCTGACATATTTTACACTAAAATTGATTCAATTGCCTGGATAAATAAATATTCCTTTTCCCCCATCTTATATATTTTATAGATTTTTTTTTTAATAATATGATCACCTTTACCTCCATATAATAAATATGCAAAAGACCCAAAGCAACAGATGGTGGGGAACACTAAAGTCCAGTACAATAAATATATATGTGTGTGTACATGTAAGCTGCATATACACATATATATATTCATGTATGTCTTACAAGGGATTATTTTCTCCACAAGGCTTTGAACTGCCATTTTCACTTACAGGAGTTGAGATTTTGTGGCCACCAGATGTCATAAAAACATCTCCATTCCCATGAGCAGGAGCTGCATCCGTTCAGGAGCTGCTTCCATCCCTCCCTTCACTCAGGCTCTGCTTCTCAGCTGCTTCCTTTGTGAACAAGGAAAACTCTGGAGTTAATGGAATGTCATTCAAGCTGGTGAGGTGTCTGGGAAAGAAACAAGCAGATGGAAATGTCTTCAAACCTCTGAAGTTTTCCAGCACTCAGCTGTCCCCAGGAAGCCTGGCTGAGCTGGGGGTGACAGCAGGAACAGGACCTGGTCCCGCTCTGATGGGATTTTTCCTGGCAGAGCTCTGGGCCAGTTCTCCTCCAGTGGATGATGGCCCTGGAGATCAGACCCTGTGTCAGTGTGATCCCACCAAACCAGCCTGGGCAGCTCCACAGGCCCTCCCTGACCGCCCCCTCATCCTGGATCCTCCTCGCTCCAACACCCCCGAGCTGCATCCCGAGCACTCCCACCCTCATCCCACCCTTCCCACCCACCACTGGGGATTATTTGGGCAGAAACACTCTGACATCCCCTAACACAGTAAAAACCTCGTGACCAATTCCCCCTCCTCCCCTCGGATTAGATTTGGGCAAGAAAAACAATGGAGCACAACTATTTTTGTATTTCAGTTCACAGAGACCATAAAATTGTAAAAAAAAAAATCATCTAAAAAAACCCAACCAACCCTATAAATCAACAAATAATATTAAAACCTACATATGAGAATTTTAAAATGCTTTTCATACGTTAAATTTATGCATCTGAATAACTTCTCTGTCTAGAAATACACATGACAAACATAAATATTACATAGCAAGTATTTGGACAGTCATACAGAAAAATTCCCTTTCTGAATAGAGTTGGCCATCAATCTAAAGTGCCAAACTTTTCAATCAAATTGAAACACACCTCTGAATATTATAATACTCATTAATTCTCCAAAATTACCACAGCACAGGGGTTCCAGGGCACATCCCTCCTGTTCCTGCTCTCTTTTTCCTCCTGTCAATTTTACCTTTTTGCATATTTTATATGTATTTATAATTAAAAAGCAGCTCTTGCTGCACAGGAAGCCCTAAAAGGTTTTGTATATCGTGTCCTACACAGGTGTAATGGATAAATCACAGGAACTTTTTCCTTCACCTTGTGACAGCCATTTGCACACCATGAAAAGGGAACCAGAACGAGGCACCCGAATGTCAAATACTGGAACAAGAAGAATCCAAAATTACCTGTTTCTGCATCAGGTTGTCGTTACCATTTTAAATAATGCATCTCCCCAAAAAAATTCTTGGAGGATGATTAAAAAGAAGAGATGTTCTCAGGAAGCAGGTGTTTCTCCCGTTGCTACCAAATAATTTAGGGCTGCACGTAATATTTTGACAGCGTGTGTGTGTGAGTGTGAGTGGCTGTCAGGCAGGAATTCTCCTCCAAGACAAAGGCTCTGTGAGATGCACAATATGGAACGACATCAAAGGCTCTGAAC